ATAATGACACAGTAACTATCCAGACCAGGGAGTTCATGACCAACAGACTACTTCAGGGAAAACAAATGGTCATTGATGTCCTTTACCCTGGGAAGGCAACAGTACCTAAGACAGAAATCTGGAAAAAAAAACAAAAAAAAAACTAGTAAAAATGTATAAGGCCACGCCAGATGTCATCTTTGGATTTGGATTTAGAACCCATATTAGCGATGGCAAGACAACTGGCTTTGGCATGATTTTAGATTCCTTGGATTATCCAAAGAAGAATGAACCCAAACATTGACTGGCAAGACATGGCCTGTATGGAAAGACCTCAAGAAAACAGCAAAAGAAATGCTAGAACAGAACGAACAAAATCATGGGGACTGCAAAGGCCATTGTTGGTGATGGCAAAAAGGAGTACAGATACCTCAGTGAGTTTATCTGTAGTAATTGTGCAGATTTTTCATGAGAGTGTAAATAAAGTAAAAACTTTAAAAAATAGACAGGAGACAGATTAGCAAGGAAAAAAATAATCAAATTTAATACATACATATGTATGGGAATCCACCACACAGGAAAGAGTCAGAGACCCCTCATGCAGGAGAGATCCAGAGATAAAAGGGGAACATGGTTATATGACATTCTGAGGCAATCATATATGTTATAAAGTGTTCTCCCAATATTTCCAGTACCTACTTGGCATCACACATAATTATTATTATTTTTTTAAAATATGTTTTATTGATTTTTTACAGAGAGGAAAGGAGAGAGATATAGAGTTAGAAACATCGATGAGAGAGAGTCATTAATCAGCTGCCTCTTGCACACCCCCTACTGGGGATATGCCCGCAACCAAGGTACATGCCCTTGACCGGAATCGAACCCGGGACCCTTCAGTCCCCAAGCCGACGCTCTATCCATTGAGCCAAACCGGTCCCGGCACCACACATAATTATTAAAATATTATTGACTACATTCCCTATGACTGCAGTATTCTGTAACTACCAATTTGTAGTTCTAACCCCTTCACCTTTTTTCACCCAGTACCCCAAATCCCCTCTCTTAGCAACCATGTCTGTTCTCGGTATCCACAAGTCTGTTTCTGTTTTGTTTGATCATTTATATTGTCATTTAGATTTCACCTATAAGTGGAATCACATGGCATTTCTCTTTTTCTGACTGATTTATTTCACTTAGTGTAATACCCTACAGGTCCATGCATGCTATCGCAAATGGCAAGATCTTATTCTTTTTTATGGCTAGTATTCCATTTTATAAACTGTACCACCATATTTTCATCCACTCTGATGGGCACTTGTGTTGCTTCCATATCATGGCTATTGTAAATAATACTGCAATGAACCTATAGATGCATATATGTTTTCAAATTAGTCTTCTAGATTTCTTTGGATGTATATGCAGAAGTCGAATCACTAGGTCAGAAGGTAGTGCCATTTTTAATTTTTTGAGGACACTCCATAATGTTCACAGTGGCTCTACCAATCTGTATTCACACCAGCAGTATGCTAGGGTTCCCTTTTCTCCACATCCTCACCAGCACTTGTTTGTTGATTTATTGATGTCAACCATTCTGGCAGGTGTGAAGTGATACCTCATTGAGAGAGTGTGTGTGTGTGTGTATGTGCATGCACATGCACGCACACTTTAAGACATGTTTTTACTGATTTCAGAAAAGGAAGAGAGAAATAGAAACATCAATGATAAGAGAGAATCATCGATCGGCTGCCTCCTGCATGCCCTCTGTGAGAACTACATCTGAGGTCCCTGATAGTCAAGGGCAATTAAAGCACAGACGCCTTGTTGTCAATATACCGAACTGTCCAAGGCCACTCTGCATCTAGACTAAGACACTATAAGCAGGTACATGGACACACAATGCACTGTGCCCTTCTGCAGCCAAATGATTGATGTCACTGTTGGCAACCGGCCTTCTTTGTCTAAGGAGTAATATATATGTTATTTGACCAGGAGAGAAAAAGAGAGAAAGAGAGAGAGAGAGAGAGAGAGAGAGAGAGAGAGAGAGAGAGAGAGAGAGAGAGAGAGGAAGTAGAAGTGGTAGGCACAGAGAATGTAGTTCCTAAGTGAATAGGAGAGAGGAGAGCTCAGACAGAGCTGAGAGCTGATACCGTTACTATGTAAGGCTAAGAGCTCATATAGAGCTACCATGTTAACTAGCCAGCGTGCTGGACAGGGAGACAGGAAAAGCTGCTGAGCCAGAGAGGCTAACAAAGCTGCTGAGGCAGAAAGCTTAGGTACCGCTACTATGTGATAATAGCTGTGGTTACAGAGACTAACGCTGCTTTGTGGGAAAGATGGATCTGTTCACCAGATGTGTCCGGGTGCCTGCCTGTATGGATTTTGCTGTGAAGGACTGTTTTGTCTGTATAGGACAGTTGGGCCACTGGCTTCTGCAATAAAGCCTTATTCTTACATGCTCACAACTTCTCATGGCTTCTCCATCTAAGATCTGGTGTCCAAGTAGCTCCAGACCTAGGCAGAGGTGGGGGTGGTGGTGGTGAGAGGCTAGGATCCAACACCTGTAACTAGTGAGTAGAGGATAAAGGAGGAACTTGGACTAAGTTCCAATAGTTAGTACAGTGGGCAGGGTTCAAGAAGAATCTGCATTGGCATAGTTGGGAAGAATTTAGAAGAATATATGAATCAGAGAGACAAAATGGTGGAAGAATAGATAGGCAGATTCTGAGCCTTGTCCCGAAGCAGAAAGAAAGAGCAGCTGAGGGTCGTGCTGTGAGTGTTTATTAGCCAAGAGGCAGGCGAACACCAGAAGAAACTGGGGGTCTGCTGATCAGGGTGCCCCTGACAGGGAAGCACCCATGGTGGGGCTAGGTCTCTTCCCGAAGCTACCTACAGGCTTGGGCGGGGGAAATCTCGCCATCTTGAAGGGAAATTGGATCATGTCAGAGGCCTGAATATCTACAGCTGCAGCGACCACCATGCAGCTGTGACCCCCAGAACGCTGATTCCAGGTGGCGGGAACACTTGGACTCAAAGGAGTGCCCCACCACACGGTGAAAAGGTCAGACTTCACGGGGAGAGGGTGAGTGAGTGCTTGCGGCAAAGACAAAAGCCTGCTCGAGCCGGGCGCGCAGAAACTGGAGGACAGGGGCGGTGATTACAAGTAGTAGCCCCTGGCTGTTGGGCGGGTGTCATCAGTGAAAGTGGACGGGACTCTTAATAGGGGAGACATCTAAAGAGCAACACATTTGGATCTGACTCAAAGGGATATTGGAGAATTACAGGGGATTACCGTTGGCTTGGACTTGGCCCCCTCTCCCCTCCATAAATCAGTGCCACAGAGAGGGGGGAAAAAAAAGCTATAGAGGCTTTAGAGCCCGTGAAGTCAACCTAGAAACACTGCCACCCATAGGCTAAATTACAAATTGACCCTAGTATAATAAAAGCAAAGCAAGACCTGCTTAAAAATCAGGACTGGATTACAACACTGTGGAGCAGTGAAATGCAGGGAATTGCAATACTGTCTGGCTGGGAAACACGCGTGCCAAACAGAACAATAGAGGAAGTAAATGACCTTCATTACTGCAAATTTTATTTAACATTTTTTAATTTTATTTTTTTAATTTTTAAATTTTTGTTTTTTTATTTTTTTCATTATTTGCAACATTTACTCAAGAAACTATTTTTTCTTTCTTCCTCACTTGATTTTACCTTTTGAATTATTACATTTTATATGTAATCAACATTATTACTACTACTGTTTTACCTTTTTAATCTTATTTTCTTTTGTTTATTTTTATTATTTTTTAATTATTTTTTTTAATTTAATTTTTATTTCAGGATTACTGTTCTACAGTCTATATCTTTCCTTCTCCAACACTTTATTCTATCTCAACCCTACCTTTATGCCATCACTCTCTTCCTAACCTTTTCCTTTGGTGCCCTGTTTATCTTAACCCTTTCCTGCTCTAGATTTTTTATATTCTTTATCTTTACCCCCTCCTAAAATTTCACCCTACTTGTGTTTATCTAATTTCCAACCTCCTGCTCCAAGCCCATTCACACCTCCCTTGTCACTGTCCTAAAAAACAACAAAAAAAAGTCTTTCTCTCTATCCTTTTGTAGTTGTATGTTGAATGTTAACTATATTGAAGTTTTATGCTTTTTTTTTTGTAAGATTGATTTGCCTATTCTTTTTGTTTGATTGTATGTTTTTGTTAGCTGGGTTCTAGTCACCTTTATTGGAGGTTATTAATATAGCAAACACATTTCTATTCAGTGGCTTGTGTGTTGTAACTGGTTGTGTTGTATTTTGTGCCTTTAAATCAAAGCAGGAGAGAGAGAACTACACAACCAGACATCCTAAAAAAGGGAGATCATGGGGAGACAAAGAAACAGTCCGCATATGAAAGAAAAGCAGGCATCACCAGAAAAGGAGGTAAATGAGTTAGAGGCAAGCAACCTACCAAAGCAAGAATTCAGAGTAATGATCATAACATGGCTAAAAAGAATGGAAGACAAATTTGACAATATGAGTAAGAATCAAGAGGAAATGAAGAAGAACCAAGAAGAAATGAAAAATGACATCGCTACTGTAAAGAACTCAATAGAAAGCATCAAGAGTAGATTAGAAGAAGCAGAGGACCACATCAGTGAGCTAGAAGACAAGATGAAAAAAAATACCCAATTAGAGCAGCTTCTGGAAAAAAAATTAAAAAGCAGGAGGAGAGTCGAAGGGAACTTTGGGACAATACAAAACAAAACAATATTAGAATAATAGGGATTCCAGAAGGAAAGGAAACTGAGGAAGACATGGAAAACATATTTCAAGAAATAATGACAGAAAAATTTCCTGAGATAGAGAAGGAAAACCCCACACAAATCCAAGATGCTCACAGAGTCTCAAGCAAAATGAACTCCAGAAGACCAACGCCAAGGCACATTATAATTAAACTGGCAAACACCAATGACAAAATAAGAATCTTAAAAGCAGCCAGAGAGACCCGGAACGCCTAGGGGAGATGAAGCCGGTGGTGGACGAGATGTTTCCTGAGAGCGCCGGGCCCTATGTGGACCTGGACGAGGCCGGAGGCAGCACCGGGCTTCTGATGGACTTGGCAGCCAATGAAAAGGCAGTTCACTCGGACTTCTTTAATGATTTTGAAGATCTCTTTGATGATGATGACATCCAGTGAGGCGCTATCCCATGCTGCATGTGGTCAAGCCTTTGGTGCGTGAGTGTGTGGTGGACCCTCAGGACAGTCCCAGTGGTTCTGCAGAATGGCGGGAACACCTGAAATGAGGAAGTGGTTAACTGAGAAAGGACGGTTTCAGCCATCTGGGTGAGGTCATTCCTCACTTCAATAAAAAAAGCAGTCATCACTAAAAAAAAAAAAAAAAAAAAAAAAAAAGTAGCCAGAGAGAGACAGAAAGTTACATATAAAGGAATCCCCATCAGACTAGCAACTGATTTATCCACAGAAACTCATCAGGCCAGAAGGGAATGGGATAAAATATACAAAATCATGCAAAGGAAGGGTCTGAATCCAAGAATACTGTACCCAGCAAGGCTATCAATCAAAATTGAAGGTGAAATCAGGAGCTTCACAGACAAAAACAGAGTGAGGGAATTTATCACTACCAAACCAGAAGTGCAAGAAATGCTAAAGGGTCTACTGTAAAAATAAAGAAATAGAAAGCAAAGAAGGAACACAAGGTTATAGAATAAAAATGGTGTCAAATAAGTACCTATCAATAATAACTTTAAATGTAAATGGATTAAATGCTACAATCAAAAGACATAGGGTAACAGATTGGATAAGAAAACAAGACCCATTTATCTGTTGTCTACAAGAAACCCACTTCAGAAAAAAAGATGCACACAGACTGAGGGTGAAGGGATGGGAAAAGGTTTTCCAGGCGAATGGAAATGAAAAAAAAGCTGGGGTAGCAATACTTATATCCGACAAATTAGATCTCAGAGTGAAGGACATAACAAGAGATAATGAAGGCCACTTCATAATACTAACGGGAGCAATCCAACAAGAAGAAATAACCCTGGTAGCTGAAACCGGTTTGGCTCAATGGATAGAGCGTCGGCTTGGGGACTGAAAGGTCCTGGGTTCGATTCCGGTCAAGGGCATGTACCTTGGTTGCGGGCATATCCCCAGTAGGGGGTGTGCAAGAGGCAGCTGATCGATGACTCTCTCTCATGGATGTTTCTAACTCTCTATCTCCTTTCCTCTCTGTACAAAATCAATAAAATATATTTAAAAAAAAGAAAAAAAAAAAAGAAAAAAAGAAAAGAAAAGAAATAACCCTGGTAAATATATATGCACCCAATATGGGAGCACCCAAATACACACAAAAAAAAAACTGCTGGAGGACATTAAAGGAGAGATTAATAGCAATACAATTATAGTAGAAGATTTTATTTTATTTTTTTTATTTTTATTTGTTTAAAATATATATTTTATTGATTTTTCACAGAGAGGAAGAGAGAGGGATAGAGAGTTAGAAACATGGATGAGAGAGAATCATTGATCAGCTACCTCTTGCATACCCCCTACTGGGGATGTGCCCGCAACCAAGGTACATGCCCTTGCCCTGAATCGAACCTGGGACCTTTCAGTGCACAGGCTGACACACTATCCACTGAGACAAACCAGTCCCGGCCATAGTAGGAGATTTTTATACACTACTGTCACCTTTGGACAAATCATCTAAACAAAAAATCAGCAAAGAAATATCAATCCTAAATGATTCACTAGACCAGATGGAATTAATTGACATCTACAGAACATTCCACTTCTCAAGTGCACATGGGTCATTTTCAAAGATAGATCACATGTTGGGACATAGGCAAAGTCTCTTCAAGTTCAAGAAAATAGAAATCATATCAAGCATCTTCTCAGACCATAGTGGCATAAAATTGGAAATTAACTACAATATAAATAATCCAAAGAATTCAAACACATGGAGACTAAACAGTAGTATTAAACAAGGAATGGGTTACCAATGAAATCAAGGAAGAAATTAAAAACATCCTGGAAACAAATGACACTGAAAACACAACAATCCAAAATCTATGGGACATAGCAAAAGCAGTTTTGAGAGGGAAGTTCATATCCCTACAAGACTATTGCAAAAAACAAGAAAAAATGGTAACAAATTATCTAACTCTACAACTCAAAGAGTTAGAAAAAGAGCAACAAGAAAAGCCCAGTGTAAGCAGAAGGAAGGAAATAATAAAAAGCAGAGCGGAGATAAATGACATAGAGACCAAAGAAACAATATATAAGATCAACAAAACCAAGAGCTGGTTCTTTGAAAGGATAAACAAGATTGATGAACCTTTAGCCAGGCTAACCAAGAAACAAAGAGAGAGGACTCAAATAAACAAAATCAGAAAGGAAAGAGTTGAAATAACAACAGACCCCGCCGAAATACAAAGGATTGTTACAAAATACTATGAACAACTCTATTGCAACAAACTGAACAACCTGGAGGAAATGGACATATTCCTAGAAAAATACAACCTTCCAAAACTCAATCAGGAAGAATCTAAAAATCTCAATAGACCAGTGACTTGGGAAGAAATTGAAACAGTCATCAAAAATCTTCCAGCAAACAAAAGCCCAGGGCCAGATGGCTTCACAGGAGAGTTTTGCCAAACATTCAAAAAAGAACTAAAACCGATCCTCCTGAGACTATTCCAAAAAATTCAAGAGGAAGGAACACTTCCAAACTCCTTCTATGAAGCCAGCATTACCTTAATACCAAAACCAGATAAAGACAACTCAATGAAAGAGAATTACAGGCCAATATCCCTCATGAACATAGATGCCAAAATCCTCAACAAAATTCTAGCAAATCGGCTCCAGCAGAACATTACAAAGATCATACACCATGACCAAGTAGGATTTATTTCAGGAATGCAAGGATGGTACAATATCAGCAAATCAATAAATATGATACATCACATAAACAAATTGAAAGATAAAAATCATATAGTCATATCAATTGATGCAGAAAAAGCATTTGATAAAATCCAACACCCTTTCCTGATAAAAACTCTCAACAAGGTGGGAGTACAAGGATTATATTTCAACTTAATAAAAGCTATATATGATAAACCCACAGCCAACATCATACTCAATGGGCAAAAACTAAAACCATTCCCTCTAAGAACAGGAACAAGACAGGGATGCCCACTATCGCCACTCCTGTTTGACATAGTACTGGAAGTACTAGCCATTGCAATTAGACAAGAAGAGAAAATAAAAGGCATCCAAATTGGAAAAGAAGAAGTAAAGTTATCCTTATTTGCAGATGACATGATGTTGTACATAAAAAACCCAAAAGACTCCATGAAAAAACTAATTGACTTATTAAATGAATTTGGCAATGTAGCAAGATACAAAATTAACACCAAGGAATCTATGGCATTTCTATACACCAACAGTGAACTTACAGAAACAGAGACTAAAAAAAAAAAAAAAAAAAAAAAAGAATATATGAATCAGACACACTCAGAACAGTAGTCCTGAGCAGCACTCCTACTGTCTCTGATACCCCGTATTGGAGATCAAACTGAAACTTGGGCATGTGCCCTAATAAGGAATTGAATTGTGACCTCCTGGTTCATGAGTTGATGCTCAACCACTGACTAGCTGTTCCTATTGTGGTTTTAATTTACATTTCTCTCATGATTAGTGATATTGAGAATCTTTTCCTATGTCTATTGCCATCTAAGTGTCTATTGATGTCCTTTGTCCATGTTTTAACTGGATTGGTTTTTTTCTTTTTTTCTTTTTGGTGTTGAGTTGCAGGCTTCAATTTTATTCTTCTTTATTGATTAAGGTATTACATATACATCCTCATCCCCCAATTACCCCCCTAACACCCCCCTCCCCCCTACTCATGCCCTCACCCCCTGTTGTCTGTGTCCATTGGTTAGGCTTATACGCATGCATACAAGTCCTTTGATTGATCTCTCCCCCTTATCCCCACCCTCTCCTATTGTCCCTCTGAGATTTGACAGTCTGATCTATGCTTCTCTGTCTCTGGATCTGTTTTTGTTCATCTGTTTATGTTATTCATTATATTCTATAAATGAGTGAGATCATGTGCTATTTATCTTTCTCTGACTGGCTTATTTCAATTAGCATAATGCTCTCCAGCTCCACCCATGCTGTTGCAAATGTTAAGAATAGCTGTAACTGGTTTGGCTCAATGGATAGAGTGTGGGCTTGGGGACTGAATGATCCTGGGTTCGATTCTGGTCAAGGGCATGTACCTTGGTTGAGGGCACATCCCCAGTAGGGAGTGTGCAAGAGGCAGCTATCAATGACTCTCTCATTGATGTTTCTAACTCTCTATCTCTCTCCCTTCCTCTCTGTACAAAATCAATAAAATATATTAAAAAAAAGAATACTTTTTTTTTTTTTACAGCAGTGTAGTATTCCATTGTGTAAATAAACCATAGTTTTCTAATCCACTCATATGCTGATGGGAATTTAGGCTGTTTCCAAATCTTAGCTATGGTAAATTGTGCTGTTATGAACATAGGAGTGCATATATCCTTTCTGATTGGTGTTTCTAGTTTCTTGGGATATATATTCCTAGAAGTGGAATTACTGGGTCAAATGGGAGTTCCATTTTTAGTTTTTTGAGGAAACTCCATACAGTTCTCCACAGTGGGTGCACAAGTCTGCATTCCCCCCAGCAGTGCAGGAGGGTTCCTTTTTCTCCACATCCTCACCAGCACTTGTCATTTGTTGACTTGTTGATGATAAGCCATTCTGACGGATGAGATAGTATCTCATTGTCATTTTGATTTGCATCTCTTTTTAAAAAAATATATATTTTATTGATTTTTTACAGAGAGGAAGGGAGAGAAATAGAGAGCTAGAAACGTCGATGAGAGAGAAACATCGACCAGCTGCCTCTTGCACACCCCGTATTGGGGATGTGCCCACAACCAAGGTACATGCCCTTGACCGGAATCGAACCCGGGACCTTTCAGTCCGCAGACCGACGCTCTACCATTGAGCCAATCACGTTTCGGCTGTTCCTTGATTTTCATCTCTTGATGATTAATGACTTTGAGCATGTTTTCATATGTCTCTTGGCCTTCATTCTATCTTCTTTAGAAAAGTGTCTGTTTAGGTCTGTTGCCCATTTTTTGATTGGT